TTGGGAAGTATTGCCTCCTCTTCGATTTTTTGGAATAATTTGAGGAGAATAGATATTAAATCTTCTTTGAATGTTTGGTAGAATTCACTGGTGAAGCCATCTGGTCCTGAACTTTTACTTTTTGGTAGGTTTTTGATGATTGTTTCAATTTCCATACTTCTGATCTGTCTATTTAGATTTTCCAGTTCTTCTTGATTCAGTCTAGGAAGGTTATATTTTTTTAAGTACTGGTTCATTTCTTCTGGGTTATTAAATTTGGTGTTGTTTACTTTTTCATAGTATTCTTGTATGATCCTTTGTATTTCTGTGATATCAGTCGTAATTTCCCCTCTTTCATCCCTGATTTTGTTTATTTGTGTACTTTTTCTTTTTTCTTTAGTGAAGTTAGCCAGGGGTTTGTCAATTTTATTAACTTTCCTAAAGAACCAACTCTTTGTTGCATTTATTTTTTCTATTTTTTTTTTTGTTTTTAATTTCATTTTTTTCTGCTCTAATTTTGATTATTTCTTTCCTTCTGCTGACTTTAGGCTTCCTTTGTTTTTCCTTTTCTACTTTTTTAAGATGAAGTGTTATGTTGTTTATTTAGGCTCATTCTTGTTTTTGGAGATAGGCCTGTAATGATATGAACTTTCCTCTTATGACCACTTTTGCCATGTCCCAAAAGTTTTGATATGTTGTACTATCATTATCATTCGTTTCCATGTATCTCTTGATTTTTCTTTTTATTTCTTCTCTGACCCAGTTATGTCTTATTTTGTTTTCCTTTGATTACTAATTAATTGAGGACTTTTTTTTTTGGTATGTTTATTAGTCATTTATAGTTCCTGCTTTGTGACTTACTCATTTATCTATTCTGTTTGTTGTCTTTTCCTGTCGATTTGTTGGAATTTGCTTTATGTAGGTTGGAAAACATTTTGTCCCAGTCTTTTGTCATATAGAAGCTTTAAATTTCGATGAAGTCATACTTGTAAATCTTTTCCTTCATGGCTTTATTTAGGTTAAGTACTTTGCTTCTCTTGTTAAATTGCTAGTTTTTTTATAAAAATAAAGTGTGTGGAAGTTTTATCAAGTGACTTTTTACTGTCTGACTAAAGGAATAATCATAATAACTTGTTAGTATAGTGAATGATTTTAACAAATTTCTGAGTATTGAACCTTCTTTAAATTCTTTGTATATAAAATCCACTCGGTCAAGATTTATTATCCTTTCAAAAAGCTGCTGATTTCACTTTGTTATTAATGTATTTGTACATTGTATTCATGTTAAAATTATAGTGTATGTCTTTTTTCTTTTTTGCTTTCTTCCCCTTTCCCTTACTCCTGTCTCTTTCTCTTCATTCTTTCTGTTTTTACTTTTCTCTATAATTATGATTTTGGGGTTATGTTGTTTCATAGAATGATTTTTCTCCTTTGCTAATCTCTGTAATGGTCATAGCATAAAAATGAGTAATCCAAAACTATTCTGTAAATGTTTTTCAATTTATTTCTAATCAACTTATCTGAGTCTGGCAGTTTTCTTAAGATAGATCTTTAACTGTCTTGCTGTTTTTTTCCATAGTGATTTGTGTGTTCAGATTTCTACCTGTTTTTAAAGAGAATTTTGCTAATTTATAGTTTCTTAGAAAATTATTCATTTCAACTACATCTTCACCTTTTTTAGAGTAAATACATGCTGTTTTCCTATAATTAAAAAACTATCTAAAATTATCTTTTTTCTTCTAATGTTATGCTTTATTTCCATTCCCCATGCCTACTCCTGTCTCCTTTTTCTCAGACTTGCTGAGCAACGGTCTGTTTTATTGGTATTTTTCAAGAACAACTTTGTGCTGGTTTTATTGATTGCCCATCACTGTCTCCCTCCTTTAGCATCTATTTAATTAATCTACTTTATTTTTATAAATTACTTCTGTTTCTCTGGCTGAGTTTATTCTTTATTTTTAAATATTTTTTCTTTTCATAATTTCAAACTTATGTAAAGGTTGCCAGAATAGATTAAGGAACTCTCATATACTCTATCCACATTTGCTAAATAAAGTTGATCCTTGAACAACTCAGGGTTAGGAAGCCACTCCCACCCCTTGTCTCCCTGCACAGTTGAAAAATCCACGTGTCACTTTTGACTACCTCCCAAATTAACTCCTAATAGCTGCTGTTGATCAGAAGCCTGACCAATAACATAAACAGTTGATTAACTGTTATATGTGTTCCTGACATATCTGTTTCTTGTTTTTTTCCCCCCGATGTTTCTAGGCTGTATGGTTTGTCTGCAAGTTTTTTCAAGTTTTCGCACATCTCCAAAATATCTTTACAATATATTTATTGAAAAAAACCCATGTTTAAGTGGACACATGCAGTTCAAACCCTTGTTGTTCAAGGGTCAACTACACATCTCCAAAATATCTTTACAATATATTTTTTGAAAAAAACCCATGTTTAAGTGGACACATGCAATTCAAACCCTTGTTGTTCAAGGGTCAACTGTACTTAAATTTTGCCCCATTTATTTTTTTCCAGCTTTACTGAGGTATAATTGACAAAGTTGTATGTATTTAAAGTGCGTGAGTGATAATTTGATAGACATACATTGTGAAGTAATTACCACAACCAGTTAAGTGGCACATCCATCACAGCAACACTTAAGATCTACTCTCAGAACATTTCAAGTATATATATGGTTATTTAATGTAGTCACTATGCTATACATGAGATCTTCAGAACTTACTGATAACTAGAAGTTTGTATTTTAGCGTTCTCTCTCTGAATGTTTTTATTTATGCATATTAATTTTTCAGAACCATTTGAGTGTAAATTGGAGGCATTTTGCCCAGTTACTTCTAATTACTTAAGTGTTAATTTTAAAAACCACAGTACAGTTATCAAAACCAGGAATTTTAATAGTGATACAGTACTATAATCTAAGCCACAATCCATTTTGAGATTTTATTACTTGTCCAGAAAGGTCCTTTTAAAAATATTCTTTTCCACTCTGGGATATGATCTATGATATGCATTGCATTTATTTGTTGTCTCTTTAATGTCATTTGATCGGGAACATTTCACCAGGCTTTTTCTTGACTTTGACATTATTAAAGTATAGGACAGGTCCCCCACCCCGCACTCCGAATAACCCTCAATTTAGGTGTATTTGATTAGGTTCAAGTTATACATTTTTGGAGAAATATCACAGAACTAATGATGTGTTCTTAGCCGCATTATATCATGAGTCACCTGACATTTGTTTAAAGTGATGTCTGCAAGCTTCTCCACTCTAAAGTTGTCATTTTCCTCTGTAATAAGTAATTCGTTAGGAGACATTTTGCGATTTTGTAAATATTTGTTCCGCATCAACTTTTGACTTTGGGTTTATTTTGTTAACTATATTTCGCGCCTGTCATGTTGAAAGTTAGTTTATTTCAACTTTTATTTTTAAAATTACTTAAGGTTATAAATTTTTCTTAATATGTCTCTTTAACATATCGACTGGACTAGGAATGAAAGGAAACGATAGATTGTTTCTAATAATCTACTACTAGGAAACTGGCAATAAGAGCCTGAACAGAGTCTTTTGAAGGTGCCTCAAGTCACCCATGTCTTAACAAAACATTTCTAGTCTTGATTTAAATAAAGAACAAAAGATATGGTTTATGATTATTGTGATTGTCATACTTATGAGTAGTGATGTTATAGGAAAATATGAAATTAAGAGTTTATTTCTTTACCTCAGGACTTGTTTAATATACAGCTATCTCAGACCGTATTTTTTTCTTTCTCAGGAGCGGTGGAGATGGCATGGAAGAATCCTGTTTCAAGTTGGTTTACTGCTATGCTTCACTGCTTTGGTGGAGGAATTTTATCCTGTATACTGCTTGCGGAGCCTCCATTGAGGTTTCTTGCAAACAACACTAATATCTTACTGGCATCTTCAATCTGGTAAGCTGCCATTATGGTGAATTATTAGACATTTAAGAAATGGTTTTGTAAGATGTTAAGTAGAATTTTTTCCTTTAAAAAAATTTTGTGTTCTTGAAAAGTTAAGGCATGTGCAAGAGAAGGAACTCAGATAAGTGTAAAGTGAGTCTCTTTCTCACTCTTCTTCTCCTGTGTCCTCTTCCAGAGGCATTATCCTTATCACTGTCTTATGTATCTTTAGTGGAAAAGCATTTCAGATAGGAAAGGGCATCAGATATTTGGCTCCATACAGTTTGTCTTGTGGACCTAACCCATTCACACAGATGCGCAACAGGGTAACAGGAATGTGAGCAACTACACAAAAAGTCCAGGCACTTATGATTCATATATAATAATTGTTCTTGTCATATTCTTCATTGGATTTTTCAGGACCTTATAAGATTTCACATTAATTTGTTTTGAATTTAGTTATGAAGAGAAGAAAAAAATGTTAGTAAAAATTGCTTTGAATTCTTGCAAATCAAATCCAGTTATCCTTAAATCTAAAGAAGTATAATACAAATCAGAGTACTTTGTTATATCTAAAACAAAAACTATCTTTTTATTAAAAACCATATCATGAAATATATAACATGTTAGCAATACTTAAAATTCATTTTTATTGTGATAATTTTTAAATTAATATGTAACTGGTCATAAAACGGAATATTATAAACAGTAGTAGCAATGGGAAAAAGTAATAGTGGGAACCTGTGGCAGTGGAAACTAGTGAGAGTAGAATAATAACTTTGATAGCTAATATTTATTGAGTTGTTATCATGTCAGATAAATTCTTCATATTCACTTTTTATATTTAATCACAAGAGTCCCATGAGGTAGCTATAATAATTAAATTATTCCCATTTGACAAATGAGAAAACGGAGGCATAGAGAAACTTAGCTGAAATTTTCATATTTAGTATGTGATTAACTAGGATCAAAACCAGAAAGTTTGACTTTAGAGCCTTGGCACTTAATATCCACTGTCTCTCAAATTTGTTTAACCATCAACCAACCATTAACCATATAGTATTCCAGTTGCTATGTGTTTTGAAAGACTTTCTCAAGGACTTTTACTTCTATAACAATATTTTTAAACGGTATTAGTGTTTTGGAGAATTTTTAAATGTGTTTTGGATGCTGAAACTATGTAAAAAGTAGGATATCCAGAATCTGACACTATCACTCCCACTTCTGCTCGTGTATACTAATCACTAGTCTTTCATGGACAGTTGCAGTAGCTTCCTAAGTGGTCTAGCTGCTTTTTTCATTACTCCCTGAGTCTATTCTTCACATAGCAGACAAAATGATTATTTTAAAACAAGTTAGGACATATTACTCCTATGCTCAATAGTTTATCTTTCTAGGAACAAAATCTAAAACTCTTACTGTGGCCGGTAAAACCCTATAAAATCTTCTCTTTCACTCTCTTTGAGGTAAAGTCTTTCCGTTCTTTTCCTGCACAATCTGTTCTAGCCACATGTCTTTGCCATTTCTTGAACACATAAGGTGTTCAGTGCCTTTGTGCTTGCTATCTTCTCTCTGTCACGTTTCCCCAGAAGGCTCTAATTTTCTATTTTCAGATAGGTTGTCCCTGACTGAAATAGCATCTCCTCTCCCATGACTATCATATCACCCTTCTTTACTTTTCTTCTTAGACTGATTACTACCTGACATATTATCTGTTCATTTCTTTTTATGTTGGTTGGTTTCACTCAGCTGGAATAACAGCCTGTCAGAGCAGGGACTTTGTTTTGTTAACTGTGTACCAAGTACTGTTCTAGGTTCAGTAAATACATTGCTAAAGGAATAGACTGCTGTGTATTGTGATTTAAGGGATTTCTCTAATTGAATAGCAGGGAATTTCAGATCTTGATTAGTTGATCCCTTAAATGAAATAAACTTTTCTATGAATTTATGCTTTCTCGGCTTATACTAAAAGGTATGTTAGAAATGGAAAATAAATGCATTTTTGCGTAGTGAAATTATTCCTCAACTCTTTTATTATCCTTCTTTTACATAAGAGGAAATTGAGGCTCAGAGAGTTGGTAAATGGCAGAATCTGGATTTCAACTCAGCATTTAGACTGTGATCTTAATTAAGAAGAATTTTCATTATGAACACTATGGTCTTTTAATTAAACTTAAATTAATATTGAATAGGTACAAAAGAATATTTATAAAACATGAGAAATAAAATAATTGTGATAGAATAAAAACATATCCATTTAGATTAAGAAAAAATTTTCACTTAAAACATCTTTTTATTATAAAGTGAAAATTCAGAAAACCACAAAATAACAAACAATATGGCCTAAAGAATTATTGAAAGGTATATCTTTGAAACCACTACTCAGGTCAAGAACTAGAGCCTTGTCGTCCATTCTGGAAGTCCCTTCTATATGTCCCATTTCAATCCTAACCTCCTTTCCACCTTAAATAACCATTACAATAACGTACCATTATTCTGACTTCTATCATAATCATTTCCTTGCCATTAAAAAATTTGATGTCTTAAGTCTCTTTTATTGTGTAGGTTCCCCCTCCATTCCATTTTTTTTCCTATATAATTTCTCTCTTAAAGAGCTAGAGCCATTTGACATGTAGCGTTTTCCATAGTTTGGAGTTTGCTTATTGTACACTCATGGTGCAGATCATTATATTCCTCTATTCTCTGTGTTTCTTGAAAATTGGCAGATTGATCCAGAATCCAATTCAGATTCAGGTTAGATCCCTTTAGCAAGACGATAAGAGGCCCAAAATGTTTGATTATTTTTTTTTTGTTGACATTAGTACCATTTCACACTTAATGACTGTACCTATTAATTAATGAGGAATTGCAAAAATTGTAGTAGTCTAATTTTGTCTTAGTTGGAATAATATTATAAATGGATAATTCCCACTAATCTATTATTTAATTCCCATTAAACATCTATTACCCAGTTGTATAGTTCATATAGGGAAAGTGGGATAAATACTTGATTTATTTCCCTTTATTTACCAGTTTTTAGGATAATAGGTTTGTCCTCTGCCATTATCCAAAGGTGACTGGTTTTCTTTTAATAATTATGAACTCATGGATTTAAGCATATTTCATAGGTTTTAATAAATTGCAATTACTATCATTAGTGAAGTTCACATTGTTCCATTTTTGGCTGGTAGGAACTTTTTCAGATTGGCTCCTGAGACTTTGATTAGCTTCCTTGTTAACTTAATATAAGATTCATCTCAAACTTTTCTTATGGAATGCACTCATTTCTCTAAAAAGCTCTGTGTTTTTTTGTTTTTTGTTTTTTTTTTTTTTTAGTGAGAAATGACATTTGAAGACCACAGTTGAAGCACTAGAGATGTTTATTATTACTAAATTGATTATAGTTTCTAGGCCTTTTCAGTGGAAAGAGCTAGGAAACAATAAGGATAAAAGAACTTATGAGTTCGCATTGATATTTCTAATTCAAATTCAAGAACATAGAGCTTTTTTGTTATATATGTATCTATCTCCTTTCTTCCACACTAAGAATTTTGGTTCTTAAGGGCACAAGACATGATAGAATTAGAATTTTCCAACATTACTCACTTTTTTATTCTGTATTATGTGCACAATTCACAATAGTTTTGGAGTAATGGTACTAATACTACCACTGATATGATTACTGAAAACTTTTTTTCACGTATGTACTTCTCATTCTCTTTCCGTTTTTAAAATAGATGTACTATTCAACACTGTCATAGTTATAGCTATTACATAGTAGTTATAGCTATTACATACTATGTACTCTTCTTAATCCTCATTCAGTCTTAGTTTTATAGCTACCTATGTATTTAATGCTTATCACCAATCCTTGTGTCTTGGTCTCTAGTAATTTTGGTTGTCTGAAGCTTATTTTCTAGTAGATTCTTCAGGAACAGTAGTCTGTGAATTCTCACATGTTGATAAGTGTGTCGTTTGTACATAAAAGTGAGTTTTACTGAATATAAAATCATTGGATCGCCTTTTATCTTTAAATATTTTAAATATGTTACTCTGTTTTCTTGTGTCATAAAGCATTCCTGTGAAATGTCTGCTGATCATTTAATTTTATTTTCCTTGTAAGTCACATATTCTTTTTTCCTAGATGCCCAAAGGATTTTTTTCCCATTAAAGCCTAATAATTTAAATAAACTACGTCTTGGTCTTATTCATTCTGGATCAGTATTCTTAGGTATGTGGTATGTTCTTTTTAGTAGCTACACATTTATTTTTAATTGAGAAAGTTATTTTAGTATTTGTGCTCTTCCCATTCTTCAGGAGCTCCTATTGTTGGTATATTTTCTCTTTGCCTTCCTTCAGTGAACCTTTTTATCTGTTTTTAAAATTTAAAGTGTTTTCTATTTTCACATTTTATTTTTTGAAGGCACTGCTATATTTATTTCTCCTTGTTTTCCTCCTGGTTTGGTCTTATTAGTGAAATTATTTTTTTCCCTTTTTTTCTTATTTTTTTTCCTGAGTATTTTGTCTCTAGTTCTGTTTTTCTAATTCTAATGTATGTTGTTCTTTTATGTATCATTATCGCTTTCTTAATGCCTTTAGCTTGTTTGAAATATTAGGTTGCAGTTTTTTTGATCTGTTTTATGGATATACTTTTCTGAGTGCTTTTATTGTCTGTGGGGATTCTGCTTTTCTTTTTCTAATAATTTGTATAGATTTGACTCGATATTTTAATGTTGGTCATTTTTATGTGGAATCAGGTTTCTTTAATCTTTAGCATAAGATAGAATTCAGGAGAGATTTTTTGAGATTTACTAGATCTTTTCCCCCTTCCCAGTTTGGTCTGGATCTTCTCTTTCTTCTGTTGTTCTTCCCTACTCAGTCTTGGTTCTATACCAGCAGTTTCTTCTCATTGTGGGGCTTGTTCTAGAAGACAGGCCTGGTGGATCTGTTTTGAAAGTTCGTGGGGCCTACATTGATCTAGCCTCTTCAGACCCATCTTCTCGTGGAGATTTTGTCTTACCCAGATGCCAGAATCTCTCCCAGTTTCAGCTATTGTTGTTTTCAACAATAGCTATTGGTCTGCTGTGGTTTCAGGTGAACACCCATTAGCTATTTTGGAGTTGTTCTGTTCTTAGGTACATTCGTTGGCCTCTTGTTACTTTGCTTTCTTTTTCCTGCCAAGCAGTGTAGGTCTTGTGGGTGTCGGTGAATTGTCTGTGCCCACTTGTGTTGTGGAATTGAAGGGATACCTTGTCACATGGTTTTGTTGGTAAGTTTTGTGGATGGGATTTTGGTTTTGCTATCCAGACGCCTTGTCTGCTTTTATGTGGGGATTTGAAGAGTCAAAATCTGTGCAGCTGCTGCTGCTACCATCTTCCCAGAACGCTCGCCATTAGTTTTGATGTCTCCTGTAAGTGTAAGTCCACACGACGAAATCGCCTAATGACACATTTCTTAGAACATATTCCTATCATTAAGTGACACGTGACTGTACATATTTCTCTGGGACTTGTTTTTTTCCACTCAACAGTATGTTACTAAGATTCATCTGTAGTATATTCTCTCTCACTACTATATAATTCATTAGATTAATATCTGTATTTCGTTTTTCTGCTGATGAGCATTTTTGCTGGTCATTATAAAACAACAATAGTAACCACTGATGTTGAATTTACTATGTTCCACTTTTCTAAGTGCTTTACACAAAAACTCTGTAAAGTACGTACTATTTTATTCTCATTTAACATATGATGTAACTGATGCCAGAAGAGTTAAATAACTTCCCCAAGATATCACAGATATCTAGCAGCTGCAGCCAGAATTCAGACCTAGGGAATCTAGCCCTGTTAGCCTGTGCTTATGTGGTAGATTGTTTTGGACTCTGGAAATGAAAATATTGTCTTTGCCCTCACAGACCCTTAAATACAAAATGATATTTGCTTAAAAGACACAGTGTATTTTACTGTTTTCTTTTTTGAGGTTTTAATGTTGAGAACATATTTGTAATATTCATTTGATTTTAATTTGAGAGATAAAATGGTGTTTGGAATGTACTTTAAAGTCTGTAGCAAGCTAAACTAAGGGATTCTGTGAATGCACTTCTTGGAAAGGGTGCCGCTCAGTGCTCACATCTGGAGATGAGCACCATCTACTGGCTAAGGGGAACAACTGGAAGACTATACTTTCAAAGGATTTTTCTTTTTGAAAATCAAAAATATTTTGATTTTTCTTGTATTGATTTTTGTATCCCAGTTTTTTTTCCTTAAACTTCCAAGTATCTATTATATAGTGCATATTCGCATAACCGAGACTGCATTTTTCTGAGGAAGAATACAATAAAAGATAGTTTTACAGGTCTGTCATCCTGCAATGGTCTTTTTCAAAGCATATGAAGTTATTTAATAAAAAGAAGAGCAAAGCCATCATATTAGACTAATGTGAACTGTATTTATTTCTGTTTGGCTTGCTTAAGTAAACTGTCTTTGATAGTCAGAGGAGTGGAATTAATAGTAGAATGACAATAAGAGTTCTCAGTGCCTAACCATGGGAAACTTCTTTCTGCTCAACTCTTAGTATTAACCTAACTTCTACTTTCATCTTCCCTACTTAAACTCATTTAGATGTCATTTGTCCATGGCTTAGTATCCTGTTTGTAACCTGTTTTAGACTAACTTCTGTTACTTAGCACTATTCTTGTTATTTTTTTCCCCTTCATTAACCAAAGCGACTTAAGATGTATGAGAAACTAGTTGCTTTCTCATTCCATTTCTTGTCGAATATGTTCCTTTTATTCTTTTCTGATATATTTTCTTTAGTTACTTTATAAGTTAAAATTCGTTACATGTGACGAATTTTAGTTAGAGGTGAAATAATTTTTGCAGGAAGGACATGATGACTGCTTAATGAGTGTTCGCTGAGTGATTCATTAAAGGAATTTTAGAAAGCTCACTTGTATTATATAGCAGAAATGGTCGGCTAAGGAGCATTGGTCTGATATGTTTACTTGTAAGTCTACTTAGCACCATGAACAATTGTCCTTTTGCTTTGTGACTAACACTTGAAACAAAAACTTTTCTGTTTAAAATGTCAGCTTATTATAGGTATATTTTAGAAATATCTGATTAAATAGAATAAAGACTTATTTATTAAAAAATAGGAATAATTACAAATTTTAGATGGTATGCCATGATGTTACATAATTTAACATAAAAAGTCCAAGACTGCTTATATAATAGTATAGGTTTTTAACTAATGTAGAAGATAGTTTCACTGAAAGAATGAAATTGGGGTCCTTTGTGTTCTTTTGTTTTTGTTTGTTTTATTTTTGAAACCAAATCTCCCTTTCTTAATCTACAGTGGATACCAGAATATTTTTATTTATTTAAAAATACATTTAAAAATTGCTTATTTAAGTATAACTAATTTTTCCCAGTACCTAACTAACTTTTTGAAAGTTTGTTCTATATTTAAAGAGAAAAGTATATAGAGACTTGGAAAATATATGAACATGTAAAATTTTAAAATCATACCAGTCATTTTCCAAAAGCTGTTTACTGTGGTCAGATAATTCCTTTCTTTCTATCAAACTTTTTAATTATTACCTGATTCTTTGATATATTTTGTATTTTACCTCAAGATTAACTGTTAATAAGTGATATAATTCAGGACTACTTTTCTTCATGCTGAGTGAGAGGATAATAAGATGAATGATTCCTGCTATCTAAGGACTATTATACATAATTTATTATGAACATTGCAGCCTTTGTATTTTATAAAGAAAAATGTGTAATAAAGAACTATAATGAGGCATAGGAACCAATTGTTTTAGTTACACAGAGCCATTAGAATTTAGTCTGAACTGAGAATATTAAATAAAACAAAACTCCCAGAGTGAGCGCATATGGTAGTATTTGAGTGAGACCTTGAAGAATAGGAAGGAATTGGTAAGTGGAGATAAAGAAGAAAGAGTACCTCAGGCCAAACAAATCATTATATCTTGTGTTGGGTCTCTGAAGCAGTATTTTGGCAAATAGATTTCATATTCCATGAATAATTTTGGGAATTCTTACTATATGAATTATGAATTGCGATAAAATTAATAACTTCTTTTAGAAGAAATAAAATACTTCTTTGTGCAGTGTATTCCATATAACTGCATTAGAAAGAAGATATGTTCTGCTTTAAGCACAAAATTGTCTGCCAGAGAGTATTTTAGGAATGGGGGGTAAAAGTAGTGTGTTCTCCACTTTAACACTACTGCTAAACTGTTGGAACAGACGCTTATAACAAATGAAGCTTCAAAAAATAATTTATCTGAGGAGGAGTGAATTATTCTTAAACTAATATAACAATTTAATTGGTTAAAACTTAAGTTAACTCAACTAAATTGAAGAACAAGCTTCATATTCTTTCAGCTGTATGAAAGTATGTTTTTCCTCAATACAAATCTGTTTCCCTGAAAGCTATGACCTTTCTTTGTATAGGTTGCAGTTTATGTACAGCACAAAGGGGCACAGGTGAAGATGTCAGTGGGGTTGAAATGCAGCACTTGCTCAGCTACCAAGGGCCTTTTCTAATTCCTTTTCCCAGAGGAAAAAAGACACTCACTAGAGAAGTCCTTTCCCTAGAAGTGATTATGAATTTGCTTTATTTTGTTCGTGCAGGGGTCCCCAACCCCTCGGCCGTGGACAGATACCTGTCCATGGCCTGTTAGAATCTGGGCCGCACAGCAGGAGGTGAGCGGCAGGTGAGCCAGTGAAGCTTCATCTGTATTTGCAGCTGCTCCCCAGCACCAGCATCACCATCTCAGCTCCACCTCACATCATCAGGCACTAGATTCTCATGGGAGCATAGATCCCTGGTGCCAAAAAAGTTGGGGACCGCTGTCCAAGTGGATTTAGCACTTAGCTTCTAGAAGAGGATCGGCACAAATTAGAAACTTACAAATACTTTAGCATACATAAGTATTCAGAAGTCCAAACAAGATGAAATTCCCCTTGGATTATGACTTTTTTGCTTCATGCAATTAAAAAAAAAATCGACTCTACCCAATCTGCGATCTTGTATTCAAATTCTACGTTTTTATGGATTTTAAGTTTACGTTTATATGTTTGTTATGTTTTGCCAAATTGTTATTGCTGACATGCTGGATTTTTATTTCTATTCTTCTGATTCCACTTATATATTAAAATATTTAAATTTTAATTTCAGGTATATTATTTTTTTTTGCCCATGTGACCTAGTTTCCCGGGGCTATTCTTTCCTACCTGTTCAACTCTTGGCTGCGGGAATGAAGGAAGTGACCAGAACTTGGAAAATAGTAGGTGGAGTCACACATGCTAATAGCTATTACAAAAATGGCTGGATAGTCATGATAGCTATTGGATGGGCCCGAGGTAATATTAACAGTATGTGTTCATAAATATTCTGTTATTGGTGTACTACAACTATTGAACAGTTTTCTTGTTACTTTATGGGGATAACTTTAATAACAAAATCTTTTTGGAGGATAGAAGCCTTGTTTTTGTTGGCTAGCAAAGTTAATTCAAAACTAGCACTTTTCAATAGTACTAGCCATCAGCCATTATTTTGAGCCTGATTATCTTGCAATGTAAAATTCTTATGATTGGTTTGATTAGTAGTCCCAGAACCAGAGGGCTTCATAATTGAGTTGTAGTGCCACCATAAATAAAACAAGTTTGCATGATAAAATATGTGGTGTATATAAAAAAAAACAACCTGTTTTTTTTTCCATCCTGAATAATCAGAAATAATAAATATGATCGATTATGGGTTCATATTTACCTTGCATCACTCACTTTTATAGTTGGGTGTTTTTGTATGTAGGAATTGAACAAATTTCTCCAATCCCTTGTTATAGTGTATTGCCTCTAAAACGAATATGAAAGATGGAAATGATAAAGCATAGGATTTAATTTTCAGGTTTGAAACAGACCTCTAGGCACATCTCTGTGTCTGAGGCCCCAATTTTAACCTAAATTACGGTACCATGGGCAGTTGCCATGCTGGTGAAAGGGAAGCATTGCAGTAGTGTCTGTGCCATAAACGTGCAAGACAACTTTTTTTCTTCCTCTCCAAAGTTATATTTTGGGGATCCTCCTGGAATTTTAAGTCAGGAGATAAAATTCTGGCTTTGTTTCAGATATTTTATCTAGAAAATATGGCTAAAGATTCTTGTTTTATTTTCTTATTTTTAGGTGCAGGTGGTAGCATTATCACGAATTTTGAGCAGTTAGTAAAAGGAGGTTGGAAACCACAAGATGATGAATGGCTGAAGATGTCCTAGTGAGTTGATATAAACTATACTGAGACCCTTCTTTTTATCCTTAAATTTTTTACCAAATTTCTCTTTAAAAACATTTTGGGGACTCTAACTGTGGATGAAATATAGGTGAAAAATAAAATAGTGATGATGAGAAGAAAACCAGGAAACTTTTTCTTTCACAAATCTGCTCTCTCAAATGTAATTTTTAAAATAAATATTGATACTTTTCTCTGTGGGTTCCTCTCCTTAGAAAATAAAACAAAACAAAAATTCTCGTATTGTTGTAGACTTATGGGAAGAGTGTGTATTTATGGAGAGAGACTTACGTAGGAATAAACTTCTCTAGATGGAAATGAATCAGTTGCAGGCTCTTGGCATTTTTATTAATAACATCACCCAGATTTCAAATCATACATAGTTCTGTTGCTAAAATATCAAGCTTCGGGGAACGAATCAATACGTTGTCATAAAGCCCTGTTGCTTTAAAAGTGAAAGTCGAGCTTAATTGCATATAAAAGTAAGAAAAAGATTAGAGGAAATAACCCATTCTCTCCTTGTACGTTGCAAGCTACCTTTTCTGTCTATTTAAGAGAATCTAATTGTTAGATGTTTTCTAAAGACACTGACTCAGTCTTAAATAAGTCTCAGATGTATCCCGATGCACCTGAAAATGAAATAGAGAAATATGGTTACTCTTGCCACAATTCAAGAAGAAAGACTTAGAGAATAGTGTCCATAATAAGCAAGGTGAAGAAAGGCTTTATGTAAAAATAAGCTCATTAGAATGTCTGGATTAAAAATGAAGGTTGAAAAGCAATATGGATGATGATGTGTATATTTGAGTGAATCAACAAATACCAGGCTATTTAACTTAGAAAGCACTTCTTAAAGCTTGGATAAGGTGGTTTAGAAATAGAACAAAGGAGCGTTGGTTGATAATAAGTTATAAATAAGGTGTTAGTGTAATTAAGGGGAAGTTTTTCTCATTTTGAGTTTATACCTTGAAATGTCTTTTTAAACCATTAATTGGGGCTTTAAGACTGAAATCAAATTGTGTTTCTCCTTTGTTCAGTGACTCCCCCAAATGGCCTACAAGACCCTCCAAGTTTTGCCTCTCCCCCCACACCCAGTTTGCTTTGACTTCATCTCTTACTATTCTCTCCCTTGTTTACTGCACTCTTTTCTTGAAAAAGCCAGGTGTGGCCTGGTTTAACACTATCTTTTCTCTTTGCCTAGAACCTTTATCCTCAGTGGCTAACTCCCTTATCTGCTTTGCTCAAAGTATTTTCTTAGAGCTCACCTTACTGCGGACTACCCTGCTTTTAAAAATTGGAATATTTCCCTCTATTTTTCTTTTAATTCCCCACAGCATTTATCATATTCTATAACTTACTTATCCTCCTCTTCTCCTTGGCTTTCCTCCCATGCTTCAAAAAATATAAGATGCCAAGGACAGGGATTTTTGTCCTTTTTGATTGCTTTTGTATCCCAAGTACAAACCACATAGTAGATACTCAATAAATATGAATGAGTGAATGAATGAATGAATGAGTTATAATTTGTCAGGCAAGGTAGAGCATTAGTTCATTACAGTATTTTGTGTATGTGTGTATATATATTTAAGTTCTCATATACCTATTAGCAAATACGTTTGCTTAATAGAAAAAGCCTATTTGGTCTTAGAATACATACATTGTCATAAACAGAATGTTGGTAGAAATATGAATGTCAGAGGTGCTGGTGAGGGCTTAGAAGGAAATGAGGACCATGATATTAGAAACTGGAGGAGAGATGATATGTTACTCTGATATGGTTAATAGTGGCAGAAAACTTAGCTGAATTGTGGAAAACATAACTTGTAAGCAATGAACTTAGATATTTAGCTGAGGAGATGTTGAAGTAAAGTGTTGAAGTTTGGACTGATTTCTTTTTGCTGCTTATAATACAGTCTGAGAGGGAAGAGTTGAATTCAGGGAATAACTGCTAAACGAAGAAACCAATACTTGATGATTTGGGAAATTCTCAGCCTATCCAGATTGCAAAAGATGACAAAATTAGGAGATTTGTTTCTAGGAAAACCAGCTGTAGAGAGAAAGTCAGGGTGTGGCTGGACAATTTTACTAATGTTAAGAGATTAGGCAGGTGACTCATGGACTCAATTCAGCTATCACAGCAGAAACCAGGAGTAGAAATTAGATTATATGGGAAAGATCTGTGGAGGACCATCTGACTAACGGCATGGGTCCCTGTGTCATATACAGGAGACCCGCAAGGTCTTTGAAAATGTTATATC